AGGCCAGTTCAGCCACACTTTCCACTATTCCTAGGATTCTTTGCTTGGGTCACCCTTTTGGATTCCAGGGCATTTCCCTAACAACATTTTTCTCACTGGAACATCATAAGAACACCCCATATCAAGATATCTTTTCCATGTCTCACCCCCCAAATCGGTCCCTCCCCCAACTGCCCTGTAGCCTTCCTGCCCCTACCCTGGCCCTAGGTTCAGTTTACTCAGGAAATCTCATCAATTTTCTCTTTCCAGGGCGACCCATGTGTCTCTCTTAGGGTTTTCTTAGTTACCTTGCTCTTCTCTGGAGTAGTTAATTGTGGTGTGGTTAGCCTTTGCTTTACAGTTTCTATTTTGTGGGACAACTTGAGGAGTTTAGGTATTAGCTCTTCTTGGAAATTCTGGGAGAATTCTGTGCTGCAACCATGTGGCCCTGGGCTTTTTTGGTTGAGAATATTTTAATGATTTCTTCTATTTCCTTAATTGTTATAGGTTTGTTTAAATTGTTTAACTGGTCTTGATTTAATATTCGTATGCCATACCTACCCAGAAAATTGTTCATTTCTTTTACATTTTTCAGTCTTTCAGAGTTGGGTTTTTGAAGTGTGACCTGATGGTTCTCTGTTGTTATGTCCCCCTTTTCATTTCTGATTTTGTTAATTTGGGTATTCTCTCTGCTTTTTGGTTTGTTTGGGTAAATGTTTGTCTATCTTACAGATTTTGTCAAAGAACCATCTCTTTTTATCCTTGATTTTTTTTAATTGTTTTGTTTCTATTTTGTTGATTTCATCCCTGAGTTTGATTGTTTGCTACTCCTCCTGGGTGAGTTGGCTTCTTTTTGTTCTAGAGCTTTTAGGTGTGCTGTTAATTTGCTAGTGTGAGATTTCTCCAAATTATTTAGTCATTTAGTGATAATTTTCCTCTTAGTACTGCTTTCATAGTTTCCCATAAGTTTAATTATGTTGAATATTTACTTTCATTGAAATCTAAGAATTCAGGCTTACCTTCTCTATACTTTACTCTTTCATGTCTCTTATTTGACCTTTACAACCCTGTTTGTCACTCTGGTGCTCTGCTTCTTCAGTCAGATCTGCTTGATCACCACTTACGTACTTGTCCTTAAGTAAATCCTACTTGATCACTACTTCTGAATTAATCTCTGTCTTCTGTATCAATACCCTCCTTGTTATTTTGGACTCAGCCTATTGTGGGCCACTCATCATCTCTACCAATGTACAGGAGAAATGTTCCTCTCTTCAGCTATCCTTATTTATTTTGGACTCAGCCTATTGTGGGCCACTCATCATCTCTACCAATGTACAGGTAAAATGTTCCTCTCTTCAGCGATCCTTATCTGGACCTCCATACTCAAAAAGATTTAATTTCTAAAATACTTTGTTTATACCTTTTGAAAAGCATTAATATCATTGACCTTCAAATTATAAGTATGCTTCCTATGATTTTATTATACTTTAACACATCTTTGAGACTCTTGAAGAGACAGATTGATTCAGAAGTGATTATCAAGTAGGTTTGACTGAAGCAGAAATGTAGTAGAGTTTCAAAAGTTGTATGGAAGTCAATTAGGAGTCTTGAAAAAGCATACTTATGTAGAGAAGGTTTTCCAGAATACACAATTGCTAATCTAATTTGTATTAGTATCTGCAGCACACGATTTAGACCTAATATGTACTAACTGTTATTCAGCAAAAACACTAATATAAAAACGTTTATCAGGTTAAAGGAATAGCCATTAATACAGTTAATCAATGACGACATGAATGAGAAGGTTGATGCAGAGTATGGATGTAGTGTACTATGTTGAGTGCAGTGTATACATATATGATTTTAATGTTTTTTTAAGTGTGTGTGAATATGAGCAGGTGCATGCCACAGTACATGTGGAGTTCTGGAGTTGGTCCTTTACTACCTTGCTTGAAATAAATTTTTCTGCTGATACACACACACACACACACACACACACACACACACACACACACACACAACTAGGAGTTTCTTTGGATCCTCTTGCCTCCATCTCTCATCTACTCATAGGAGCAGTGGGATTATAGCTACTTATGTCAAACATCCAGCATTTACATGGAGACTGAGGTTTTGAAATCATGTCTTCATGCTTTTGCAGCAATAAGCTTTTATTCACTCATCCATTGCCCGAGCTCAGATATAGCTATATGTAGATGAGTATATAGAATGCCCGATGGTCTAGGGAATGCTCACAACCCATGAAGGAGACAGAGCCAGCTGTCTGAAAAATGCACCCAGTATTGTGTTGATTAAAAATCACGTGTGGCAGGAGCTTCCTGAAGATAGTTAGCCAGTCTAGTATGGGTAAGTTGGGCTGGCATGTTTGAAGCCCAGGTGCCTTTGGAGTATTGGGCCTTTGGAGTTTGTTGCAGAGAGGCTGCAACAAAAATTTCCAAACTAGTTTAGGGCCTTAGGGAAAAAGAGAAATGAACCTAGCACCTAGGGTATTGACTCTGGCTTGAGCCCTGCATCTAGTTCGGGCCTTTGTTGGTGGCGGCAAAACCACAGGCAAGTGGGTAATTCCCTAACACAGGTAAAGGTAATAGTCTGATGGTCACTTATGATGACGTCATGCTTTTATGATTTTGTTCAAGCTGTATTTCCCCTTTGAATGTACATTTTCATTCTCTAGGTGAAGAAATTTTAAATATCTCCCATTTTATTCTCCTATCCCCATTTCCACCCCTTCTCCAGCTCTCCCATGTGTTATTGCTCTCTTTCTTTTGTAGTGTTGAAGACTGAATCCAGGGATTGTGTGAACTGTCTATAACTAATTTAGTTGCCTTCTATAAATTTTGAAAAACGAATTTTGATGTGATGCTCAGGGTGACCTTGAACACACCCAGCAAATCAGGATGGCTTTTAACATGGGATCCTATGGTTTAACTTCCTGAGTACCTGGGATTATAGGCTGTAGCCACCAAATTCCACGTAATGATTTCTCTGTTCTTAACCACTCAGGGTTAGGCAACCTACAAAATCTGATTCTGAGTATCATTCTTGTGAAATATGGTTTTCCCTTGACCCACATACCTCTCCGAATTTACCACCCTGCAGTTCTGAATCTGCTCCGTCTTAGGGGTCTCCGCGGGGCCGGCGATGTTAACAAGTTCCCGGGTTTCGGCACCAGATGTCCCTCGCGATAGTCTCGCCGGCAAGAACCACACAGGACATTCGGATCCTTCTGCAGTAAAGCTTTAATGCTTTAATGCATCTTGAGAGGAGAGCATAAGCTTACCAGAGCTGAGACCCCGAGCCAAGAATCCCGTCCCCTAATAAAGGCTGGCAACCCCCCCTGGG